AAGACACTGCAGACTTTATCTTGTTAGTATTCAGGTACCGGTAGAGAAGAAGAAGAATATGAATAAGGCTACCTTCTTCCCCCCAGACGTTTTTATTAAGCACGCAAAACAAGCAAAATTAGCATAAGATAAGAATTTGGCCATAGAGGCGTCGTGTGGTTATCAGTCTTAAGGCATTCCACGCCTGCGCACAACGAGAATCACATAACAATGGGATGATTATAAGGAGAATCACAGGAGAATGCATGATTATACTAAAATAATGATTATGTTAAACATCACTGATGTATCCCTAAACAACCACAAGATGGAGCTTTAAACTACAAAATCCCCACATAACTCATTATAGTGTGGAAAATGGTTGTACAGTTTATGACTACCTACATAAAGCTAATGGTTTACACAAAAGCAAATACTGTTTACCAGTAAAATCACAAAGATATCTTGCACATGGAACACTCCCATCATGTTATTGCTTGAAATAGAAGTAAACATGTAGTTAACACATCCACAACCAGTACCTACCCCAGCAGATTCCCCAGTAAGTCTCTGTGAGTTCACAAAGTGAGGATGATGGAATGAGTTTGCTTACAGGGTAGTCCATACAAGTGGAATTTTCACTGCACCAAAGACACTAAAGAGGAGTGATAAATAATTCGTTTTAGTGGTTGCTGAGCACTTACACCTTCATTCTTGAAAAGCTTACCCCATTTTTTAATTTCCAACTAATGTCAGGCAGCAAATTTCCACTTATTCACCAGACTGGGATTAGATATTTTGAAATTTCAGAAAGAAGACTAATCTTATCCAAACCTATTCCATTTTTTAAAGGCAATATTAAGTAACTGTGAAAGGATGATCATGTAAACATTTCCCTAGTCCAACAGGTTCCCCTTTCCATATCTGGTCTCACACTGCTTTTTACATGGGTTGTGCTATCAGCTGGCATAACAGAAGTCTTGTTAAAGCAGAGAAATGCTTAAGTAATCACCTTTCTGCTCAGAATAGGATTATGGCTGATATTTTGGCCTTTAATACTCCTATGCATAAAACTCTTGCCATAATCCAAGTTGCAAACTATATTGGTCAAAACAATAACTTGCTTTGTCCCACTAAAATCATTCTCAAGTGGAAGCATAAACATTGAGAAACTCTATATTAAGAACCTCTTTTTCACTGTTTTGCTGATCTATTAGATAATATTTACTTTCAAGTTTTCTTAACTACAAGAAGTTTAAAAGGAAATGTTCTACCAACTATTTCTAATGTGTTTAATACTATTTCTTATCTCTCACATTGACTTTTTATTTGACACTGTATTAGCACACACTAAATTGTTCAGTAATTAAGTTTCGACTAATTCAGTATCTTTGTATTGCATAAAAAGGGTGATTACTATCTCATTTGAGACACTAATCCACATCATTTGGACTAGTTGGATGTTGGTGTAAATAGCCTATCAGGACATGAGAAAAAGGGTGGCAGCAATTGATCCTTTGTTTTTCTTTCATCAGTGAAATACCACCCTTACCCTTTTCTTCTCCTATTCCTGACCTTACTTTTTTCCTGCCTCCCCCTGGGAACTCCCTCCAAGCTCTCTTCAGAAGTTTAACTCTTGCTGAACCTAAAGCTGTGAAGGAAGCAAAAGTATCAATGATCCTTTACTCAAATGGTTAGTATCCAAAAGCAAATATTCAGTTAGATACTAATCTGACACAATCTATTCTTGGAAGTAAGATGCAGCTGATCAGCACAAAAGGATACTATTCTTCTGAGATCAAGGGTTTTAAAAAAATAAGGTCTCTGTAACCAAACCACAATAACCAAATCAAGGAAAACATTCAAGAGCTGTTACTAAGCAGAATCAGCCTGGCATTTGAAGAGGGACTAAAAATAACTTCATACAGGATTTATAATAACAGATTAATATAAAGCACACATTTAAGAAATTTTAATAAGGACACCTGCTTTAAATACAGAAATCTGCATTATTTAAGTAAATGAACAACTTCAAATTGCGCCTCGTGGCGCAGTGGTTAAAACGCTGTACTGCAGCTAAAACTGTGCTCACGACCTGGGGTTCAAATCCCAGGTAGCCGGCTCAAGGTTGACTCAGCCTTCCATCCTTCCAAGGTCGGTAAAATGAGTACCCAGCTTGCTGGGGGGGCAATGTGTAGCCTTTATAATTAAAAAATTGTAAACCGCCCGGAGAGTGCTTGTAGCGCTATGGGGCGGTATATAAGTCCAATAAAAAAATAAATAAATAAATAAATTGTTTTTGATGGCTCATTTCAACAGCCTAACATTCTTTGTTTTGGTGGTGGCTTTTTTAAAAATACAAAAATAAAGAGCACACATTACACCTTTCTAGAAAATTTCTTGTACAGTTGATTTTCTATAACAATTTCCTCTTTTCTATTGTAACATAGCTGCCTGCCAAACATTTCTATCTTCCTCTACATTGTGCATTAAATCACTTAGCTCAAAAGATATTAGCACTGTTTACAGAATAATGCCAAAGTTTTCCAAACAAAATACAAAACCAGCAAAACTTACTTTTGTGTTTTTTACACACTCTTCACATGTCTTTTTGGTAAAATCAGTGCACGCTGGAAAAGAGTAATGTTTTGTATAAAAAATTAAGAAGATTTAAATGCAAACTTTTAAATAACCTTTCTGACATCTGGATGCATGTAAACATTTTGGATCAATTAACATGTCAATCTAAAAAAATTTATATTTTTTAGAATACGTCAGCAAGTGTAAGTCCCCAAAACATTCTTCCTTTCTATCAGTTCCCTTAACTAGCAGTGCAATGCATCAGCAAGCCATTAAACACATCCACACATCCACCATCTTTCTGAGAATTTAGGTGCTGGGTCCTAGGTTTACAGAACCCAAACAAAATATAATCATTTCGTACCAAGGCATATTTGATAGCAGCATCAAAGACAGCTTTGTAATGAAAGTTTTCATGCATGCTGAAATACATATGATCGGATATGCACAAAGAGTATTGAAATGCCCGCTATGATGAAGTGATAGGATATCATTGCACAACCATTTGTTTTGTGACATTCTACACAATGTGATCAAATATCTTTTTGGGTAACGATAAACCCATAAAATCAAAGCAGTATCTAATTTTTCAACTAGACACCTTGCCACAAGTGAAGAACTATGTTTTTCTTTTCCCCTAGACGCCCCAAATTGAAGATATTTCTCAAGATCTACTAAAGTTCTCCATTCTACCTATCATTAGAAATGTAAGTCATCACTCACTGACATTTTTAGATAGCAAACAAGATTGAAATATGTGTTTATCCCAAAATGCCTAATAATGGCCTTGGAAAAAATCAGAAAAACAGTATGGAGAGGACTGGCAAGCTGGGAATAAAGGGTAACAATTCCTTCCCTGGCCCAGATGCAATGTTGGATTTCTTGTAGCCATTTTAAGCCTTAAGAAAGAAATCAGAAAAGTCAAGTCATACATTTTTTTAAACCGCATACCTGGTTTTGCCTTCTTTGCTTTAATAATAAATAGTGTGCTGTCAGGTAAATTCTGACTTACAGTGGCCCTTTTCAGGGTTTTTCAGAGAGTACTCAGAGGTAACTTACCATTCCTTTCTTCTGGGGGCACCCTGGGACTGTGCTACTTGCCCAAGGTCACATAGGCTGGGTCTACTTGCGAGAGGCACAGAGGGGAATCAAACCTCAAACCTCTGGCTCTGTAACCAGATACTTAACTCACTGAGTCTTCTTTGCTTTAGGGAAGGCATTTTATTTTTGCAGGAAGTGCTGCTTATAAATCAGCTACCTGCAATAACAACTTTTACTAAAGCAGTCTCTCATACAACTAACAATAAAATACTTGCACGGGGTATGGAGAAGAGAAACAGGGCAGGAAACAATCCTGAGAACCTTACTAGAAAAGGCTTATAGTAATCAAGACCCAGATTACCTAAACTACTAATCGGGGTCACATGAGAACCAGGAGGAGACACACTTCCAAGTTATTTAGTTCTGGTCAGGGTGGATAAAAATCAATGATTTTTTTTAAAAAATAGTAATTTAAATAAAAATGATTTTTATGTAAATCGTCAAAAATTGTTTTTAAAAAACTGAATCATGATTTAAATAAATTTAGACCCAATCCACCCTGTTTCTGGGAATCTAGTGCCTGGCACGGGGTTTGAGGATGTGTTACACAAGGGAAGAAGCCAGACAGGTGCATCTAGAGTGGTCGTCTGACCAGATAGGCGGGATATAAATACAATCAATAAATAAATAAATTACTGGTTCGGGATGAGGCTCAAGGTTGGAGTGGCACGAAACTGGGCAGAAGGACCACTATTGTTTGAAGGAAAGAGGGTTGACCGAAAGATGTAACGAGGGAAGCTTAACGCCTCAGTAAAAACACTGTTGCTGTTTTTAAAAGGTACCAGAAGGTGCCTTTAAAAAAAAAAAAGGAAGGAAAAAAGTGAGGTAACATCATCGTGGGAGGGAGAGGCACCTGTTAAGGGCCCGGCTGGCTGGGTGGGGAGGAAAGCCACGAAGGTAGGCTCCCTCTCTCAGAGGCCTAGCAGAGGACCGGGGTGAGGCGGGGGTCGTTCGCTCAAAAAGGCCGGGAA